TTCTCAAAACATTTCCTCTCCACTTAAGCCCCCGTCATTAGGTCCTCTTTTCCCCCCTCCCCCATGAACCCTTGATAATTCATAAATTATCGCTTTGTCATATCTTGCCCTGTCCGACATCTCCCTTCACCCACTTCTGTGTTGTCCGTCCCGCAGGGAGGAGGTCACATATAGTTCCTTGTAATCGGTTCCCTCTTTCCTACCCACTCTCTCTCTATAGCCTGCTACGTGCCAGACATACAGGGTCTGATATTTTCTAAGAAGCACAGTGTGTGAGGACATTTTGAGAGAGAGTAATGAGGGAGTGAGGAGGGGGCTGGGTTCTTATCAGAATTAGAAAAGAGCGCTATTATCATGGAAATAGAAAACAATGACAAAAACACAGAGTGAAGAATGTAGGCACAGAGCCATGACAAGAAGGAATATAAAATACATTGGGTGTGGTTTTGAATCTGATAATAACAACTTAATGGTATTAGGCCAGTTGGATATCCAAATAGGGGAAAGTTGGATTTATATTACATTCCATAAGCAAAAATAAATTCCAGATGATATAAGACTCTATTAAAAAAGAAACTATAAAATAACTAGAAGGGACGACACTTATAATCATAGGGTGTGGAGGGAATTCTGAACCCCGCCACAAACGCCAGGAAGGGATGGAGTTACATGTTTCTCTGTGGAAAAGGAACGTCCTGGAAAAGGAATCCATGGAGCCAGAATGCACACAACAACCGATGGTCTCACAAGACAGGAGATGTCAGCGTAGGCTACACAGATCTTTCACATCAATAGACAAGCAACCTAGCAGAAAAGAAAACGTGTGACCAGATTCAAGTGCAGAATAAGGGAGGAAAATGTCCAGCCTCAACCCAGAGTGGAGAAGGCACAACAAACAGGTTCAGGTATAACGGGATGGCAAGGAGTGCCGGTGCCCACCAGCACTGATGCCAACAGCGTGTTGTGTAGTTTGTCAGAGGGTCTTGACTTCCCTGTAGCTTCCCCTCAGCCCCACTCTGACGGAAGCACACTCAAGACCCTTTCATCTTAAATAGGAGGTGGATTCGGCCCTGGGGATCCAGGCAGGGAACTAAAGTCCTCCGCCTCCGCTGGGAGTTCTGAGTGGAAGGGCTGTGACCTCGACCCTTGTCCCACCCCTGCCTGTCCCCTGGGGAAGTCCTGTGGGGATGGGGAGGCAATGGCAGCCCCATACTGAACGGGACCCGAGAGTGGGTAGGCAGCCCCAAAGAGGAGCTGATCAACAGGCCAAGGCTCCCGAGCAGGGAGGAGCGCGCTGCGGGGGAGATGTCATGAGACTGAACCTTGGGCAGTGGGACGAGAAGGATCTGGAAATGGCGGCTTGGGAGTCGACGTACTTGCCCAGGAAAAGAAAGGGGCAAGGGAGAAGAGAGATGAAACCAAGAGCCGGCGCATAGCTCACTGTGGCCACTGGGACACAGCAGGGGAACATTTCAAGGGAGAGGCTAGGTGGCTGGGGATAACCCATGTCCCATCTAACCCCTGCAAAGCCATGATTTCTGGGAAACCGGGGTCCCCTTTGCTTAAAGGTACTTTGAAACAATGCTCACTTGAGACCAAGGACAAACCTGCGAAGGCCTCTGAGAAGCTGTAGCCATGCTTTGAACTGGGAAATTGGACACCCGGAGGGCGAGAGGCCTGCTTGTCCCCTGACACAGTGTGTCATAAGCTGAGCTCCTGGGAGGGACCTATGGGGGCAGGGCCCGCACTTCATTTTTATTCCAAAGGCTATAGGGATTTTGGGACATAGAGCAACAGGCTATATTCTACAATAGTTCCAATTTGTTTTTTGGTTAATTTCTACCCTCAGTGAAACCTTTAAAACAACCCGCTTTGTGTGCTAATCTTGGCACAGCAGGTAGGAGCTGCTGCGGAGAGCTGGCTGTTTGTAGGTGGGCAGGGTTTAATCCCTGGAAGGACCTCGGTGTGTGTCGGCCACCTCCACTGAAGGAAATGCAGCCTGTCTCCATCCGCGAGGCAGGAGCTGGTGGGCGCTGCCCAGGATGACAGGCGGGAAGGCCTGGGCGTGCTTTGTGCCCAGGACTGTGCAGAGCCCGTGAGCAGTCATGGAGTGAGGCCTGAGAAAGGGCTGGGTTTGTCAGCGAGAACGTGATTAGGAACCTTAGGGAAATGAAAGTATTTTTCTCTTGAAATTTAGTACAACAATATGCACTCTTCCAGATGAATGTATTGCAGTTATTTCATGCAATAAGCTTTAGAAAACGACTTAGTATGTGTGGGGGCCTGCTATCAACGAGATTCCGAGCATGCATGCTCCCATGAGGACAAACAGCATTGGCTCTCTTGGGTTTTAAGAGTTGGCAATTTGGGGCTTCCAAAAGGCGCACCCCAGCAGCACCTGGAGGGTCCGCCCCTGGCAACCCTGTGTGTCAGTGTCTGAGCAGAATGATGCTCTAATCTAGAGGGCTTTCAGTGACCAGTGTACTCATGGAGTGAACTTGCTGGTTAGCAGCCAGTCACCGGAACGTGCTTCTGCCACCAGGACTCCAAAAGACAGGACACAGCTTTGTCTCTGTGAACTACTTATTTTGTGCTCATCAGTGCCCTTGAGTGTATATCGAATGGCTCTTTTGTAATTGTCTCATGGGAATGCTAGCTATTCTGTCGGCACTATTGCTAGGTGCTGTGGAATTCTGGAGCTCGAACTCAGAGATGCCCTGTGGACAACAGAACCAAATACTGCTCAGTCCTGGGCTAGCCTCATGGTGACGTTTTTGCCCATTGATAGAAGCACTGTGTCAATCCATCTTTTGGAAAATAAGTTCTATTTCCATTTAATTCACAATATCCTACAGCAGCTGGTCATCTCAGGAAGAGGTGTCTAGTCATCACCATAGCTCATCTTAGAACATTTCTTTCTTTCTTGTCCTCACGGCTGTTAGCTCCCCATTCTACTAGGAAATGATGAATCCAGGTACGTACGTTCTCTAGATATCCTGTGTGGCCCTCTACCCCCACCCGCTTTATTGAGGGGCTTCCTTTTTTTCTCCACATGCAGGTCAGGGCCCTTTGAAGTGCGGGCTGATCTGGAGGAATCTGTGGAGTTCCTGGGCCCCGGAGCTGCGGGGGAATCGGAGGAGAGCGGAGACGAGCACATCAGCGATGACGAGACCGACCTGGGCACGGACTGGGAGAACCTGCCGAGCCCGCGCTTTTGCGACATCCCCTCCCAGCCCGTGGAAGTGTCTGAGAGCCAGGGCTCCCAGGCGGCACCGCCCATCGCGAGCAGCAGTGCTGGCGGTATGATCTCCTCGGCGGCCGCCTCCGTCACCTCCTGGTTCAAAGCCTACACTGGGCACCGCTGATGGCACCTGCCGGAGCTGCAGCGAGTCCGAGCAGCGGCTAGTCCGAGTGCCTGCAGCAATGAAAAGGGGTTCTGCTGGTTTTGACTTTTTTTCTTCTTTTTAAAGCCGGGAGACCAGCATTTCTGTTTGTCAGATGCAGCGGTCTGGTTGTCAAATGGGCCTGGTCTTCCGACAGCGAAGAAGGCAGGTCAAAGGTCCTTGTGCCCAGCAGCACTGGGGAGGACCGCCCTGGCAGCCAGGCCCCGATGTGGAGGCAGCACTTCCCGTGGGCCCCCAGGTGGCAGACCCTGGCCCCGGGCTCCTGCGAGGGCAGGGACCGCACAGGCCAACACGGAGAGGGCCTGCTCTGTGCTGGGCCTGCGCCGGGGCCATGGGGTCCACAAGTTGAGTCACAAGGAAGTGATTCTGGGCGAGTAGCACTTGAAAGATTGCTCACTAAGCTGGTGTTGATGCCACCATGCTGGGTGTGCTGGTTTGCTTCCTGGTACAGAGGCCATTGGAAGTCGTTGTACGATTTGGTCATCTTGGGTTCTTGGGATTATTTTTTGGTGTCTGGGGTGGGCAACCAGTTTTTTGTTTTTTTTTGTGGGTGGGGGGATGGTACTGTGCAAATGCCTTCGTTTGCGATGCGGTGCCTCTTTCTCCCCACGCACCAAAGAGGCCAAGTCCATGGACTGAAGAAACCCTAGCTGCAATAATGCCCCACAGACCCAAACACGGTTTTCTTCTATTCTGAGGGGAACTGAGCTCCTTGACGTGGCTTTTAATCCCTACCACCCCCACCCTATGTGCACTGCAGACGGGATTTAAGCTGAGAAGGATCCTCCCTGGTGGAAGCTAACTGCCTGCCGGGGTGCACAGTTCACAAGCCACGGTACCGAGTGACCTCTGGTTACTCTCCCCGGTGTCCAGTTTCTTCTGAGGGGCTGGGTTTGGTAGGTGGCAAGCTCTTGCCCAGAAAAAAGGTCTTTTTGTTTCCCAGAAGTCCTTGCGTCTGTGAAGACCCCGCCTCTGCCCAGAAATGCAGAGCAGATCCCAAAGCTGGCACAGCTTACGACGGAGGTGGGTGGGGGGGTGCGGCGATAGAGTTTGCTCTCTTCAAGTGATCACCTAAATATGTCTTTGTCATTCTCCTAGTGACAATCTTACAAGAAAATTGAGGGGCATTATGTACAAATATGTAAGTAGATTTTCTTTTTGATAACTGAAAACAAAGCAAAACAAAATCCCATGTAACAACTACAAAAGCATTCTATGAAAAATTCCTGACAGGCGTTATTCCCCTATGCCATTAGTTAGTTAGTGTGATTAGCATGACTGTACCTCAGATCGGTCACTCGAGGGTGACCTGCCCTAGCATTTCTCATGGTGGCCACAGCTGATGCTTGGCCTCCGCAGCTGAGGTGCTAACTAGCTTTTACTATACCTTTATTGGCCGCTTGATGACATGGTAGGGGAGGGGTTGATTCTTGTCAGCAAGTACCCAATCTCCTGACCCTGACATTTTCCACTTAGGGGACAAAGGGGCTTCCCCACACCTTAGGGGATCTTCGATAGCCACTGTCTGCTTCCAGCGCTCAGCTTCACAATTGTTGGGCTGGCATTTTACTACCCAGTTCAGTCGTTCAGAGAGTGGGTGTGTAAACTTGAACAAGCACCGAATGAACTTGAAATCTTCCAAGAGTTGCCTAGCTACTTCAGGCCCTCGGAAGTGTTGAATAAACAGCCCAGTCTCCGAAGTCAGAAGACTGGGATTTGGTGCTTTGGGCATAGAGGTGGGCTTCCTGCTCCTCGTGGTTTTCTCAGGTAAATCTCTTAGGAAATCACACGAGAGACGCAACTACAAGGGTGGCTCCCGACACCAGGGACACCTAGCTAGTGATCCAACAGACTGACGGAGACATGGCTAATCTAGGGCTGGCTAGGTTATGTCACAGAGGCTGATGTTAATTTCAACTCGAGGCACTTTACTTAGGGTGACGCCAGCAAGCCCGTGGGTGGTTTCTGAGCACCGACATACTGGCCGACACTGCTGAGATGTTTGGGTTTTCACGATTTTGCACTGGATCCACCCTGTAAATACTCTAATATACATTTCAGCCACTGTGTTTTCTACTCCTCCTTTGCTGCTCATTAAGGTCTCTCATGTAGGTGCCAGAACCATATGTAAAACAACTTTTTTTTTTTAATCTTTTTTTTTAAACAAAAAGCCATAGAACTTGGTCACATTTTCCATTTTAAAATGATTTGTTGAAACATAATACTAAACAAACAAAAACTACAGGCACCGAACAGGCTGCTTTAAGTCTGTTTCAGACTTTTTTGTAATGGACTATAATGGAGAAGTTTTGCACATCTTGAGTTAAGGGGAGAAACCAGTCTGCATTCAGACACTCAGTAAGGATTCGTGTTTGGTGACTTGGGAAGTTCAGTGGCGGTCTGTAAAAGAATTCCCACAATAAGGATCTCCTCACAGTGTTATATTGCAGGGATTTCCCTTTGCTCTGCAACTTCCAAACAGGTTAGTCATACAAAATGTTTTCTAAGCTTTTATTGTATTACTGCAATAAATCTTTTAACAGCACTTTGCTGGGAGTGTCCTTTTTTAAAGTTCTGCGCAGTCCTTTCTACTGAAGCTGGCACATTTGCTGAGACTCAGAAACCAAAACACCGCTATCCAGTCAGTCCTGACTCATAGTGGCCCACAGGACCGGACAGAACTGCCCCTGTGGGAGTCCAACACTGGAGTGTATGGGAGCAGGAAACCTTCTCTTTCAAAGAGCAGGTGGCTTAGAGCTGCCGAGCTTGAGTTAGCAGCCCAGTACTCCTTCGTGATCTCTCACACAGCTTTCAGAACAATTTTACCTTGGCCAGGTAGAAAACACCGCAAGTTTTCAAAAGCATATGGCGCTAACATCCATCAGAGCCAAGTTGGGAACCAGTTGCACACCTTGCTCCTAAGTTGTGTGTTCTGCTCGTTACGGTATGTGCCTTTACGGTGACTCGGTTGTCCTTGTTAGAGGTGTTTAGCCTGTTCCTAGTGATCCCCAGGCAACAGCCCGCCGAAGGGAGTGGCCATCCAGGCTGCTGGTGTACTGTCAGCACAGTCTCCCTCCTGAGTTATGGAGTGAGGCCCTCCAGGTGGAGGAGTCTCTCAGGACTAACTACTGTGTAAAGACTTGGCCAACCCAGAGAAATGCCAAGAAACTGTTGCCCTACCTAACGATAAAATTTTTTTTAAAGTTCGTTAAGAACTGGTAGAAGAAAACTACGAATTAACTCTGTGACCTTACTCTAGGGCAGCCTTCTTACATATAATTGGGCTTTATTAATTTTTTTAAAAAGTTGCCATGGTTGTCCCATCTCTTATCAGGCTTGGACGCCCACAAACATGGAACAGCATGTGGGAAAAGGGAGGGTTCCCCAATCGGGAATGTGCCAGCATCCCCAGAGTTGGGATGTTTACTGCCTTTTCTCTACATAGAAATTAAAAAACCATGCTACTCTGTAGGGCAGGCGTCCTCAAACTGCGGCCCGCCGAGGACATTTATCCTGCCCACCAGGTGTTTTTGCCCCGTTTTGTTTTTTTCACCTCAAAATAAGACATGTGCAGTGTGCATACGAATTTGTTAATGGTTTTTGTTTTTTTTTTAACTATAGTCCGGCCCTCCAACGCGTCTGAGAGACAGTGAACCGGTCCCGTTTAAACAGTTTGAGGACCCTGCTCTAGGGTGTCGGCAGCCTAGTGGTGTCATGGGTTACATGTTGGGCTGCTGACAAGAAAGGTTAGCAGTTTGAAGCCATCAGCTGATCCTTGAGGGGAAAAAAGCTTTCCACTCCCAGAAAGAGTTACTGTCTCGGAAACGCACAGGGGCAGTTCTACCCTGTTTGGTAGTCGCACCATTAGAATTCATTCGAAAGCAGGGAGACCGGGGTAGCGCGCACTCCCAGGATTAAGGCGTATTTGATTCAAGAAGAGTGTGAAGATAACTGGCTGGGGAGGTCATTTGAAAGTTGCCTTTGCAAAGCACTGCTGGGGAGATGGAGAAGCCGGGTGACCATTGCAGGCCTCAGCCGTGGGACAGCGAGGAGGCCACGGCAGGACCTTGTTCCTCTGGGACTCCGGAGAAGAGACCACTGAAAGGGATTCCACATCTGCAGGGCCACAACAATGAAATGGGTCAGCCCCTGCCCCCACCCCGCTCCTTTAGGCAAAAACAAGGACCCTTTCTAGAAAGAGAATGGCAAACATTTGACTGGTGCTTTCCCCATGAAAGACTTGGGAGATGGTGGAGAATCTGCTGGTCCCTTTTAAGAAAAAGTTGGCCAAATGTTGGAAAATGGACAAGAGCGCTGAAAACTCCTCACAAACACTGAGGGTCCTATAGCTGAGTTACTGATCGCTTCCGATTCACATCTGACTTCCATCATCCCCCCCTCGGGATGAGGCTTCTGACATTGGCTGTGTGACTTCATGGGACTTTTCTACACTTCCCAGCAGCATAAATTCCCTTAAGTTAAAACCCAGCAGGAAGGTGTTTCTGGCACTTGAGCAGGTGTGGCTCTTGGACTGAGACAGTGCCAAGTGGTGTGGGAGTCTGGTTCCCTGGTGAGGACCAGGCAGGGCTTCCTTTTGTCGCTCAGCATGCTGGTCTGTGATCACAATGGGGATGAGGTCTAGTATCCCCACAGGGGTGCCGCTGGCTCGAGGTGGCTGTACTAGTGCTGCTCATTGGGCAAAGAACGTTTCTAACCTTGAGTGCAGAGATCTTTAGCTCCTCCCTTTCTCCAGAATCCACACCCACACCCTGCAGCAGCTGGCATCATTAGAAACGGCAAGTCATCAAACCCACTGTCAACTTCCACGAAATGTCAATTCCCGTTCATAGTTCTTCAAGAATGTCTCCACGGTGTCTGAGGTGGTGCCAGCAGGGCACCTTCGGGGTACCCACCAAATCAGCATTTCCATTTAATAATTCATAATTGGGCAGTGTGAAATGTTTTTAAGAGATTTTTTTTAAAACTTACCTGAAAAGATTAAGCATGTAATCGGTACGAAAAGTAGCCAGATACAGCTAGTGGCCATCAGTGCAAACAGACCCCTAGGTGCCTAAGTGGATACACAGGACTCCTGGGAAACGAGTTTTGGGACAGGGTTCCCCTCTTCCCGGTGTAGTGGTTACACGCTGGGCTGTTAACTGCAAGGTCAGCGTTAGAAACGCCCAGCTGCTCTGCAGAAAGGCATGGTTTTCGACTCCCATCAAGAGTCAGTCTTGGAAATCTCCAGGGCAGTCCTACCCTGTCCTACAGACCGCTCCGAGCCATTGACTCGATGGCAGGGAGCTGGTGGGTGGGTGTTTGTGGGTTCTGAGTCTTTCCCAGGCAGAGGAGGGAAAGCAGTGGTGTCCGTGGCCTTAGAGAAGTGACGGAAGTTCTATTCTCACAGTGGAGTGAGTTCAGCTCAGGAGTTTCCATTATGAGCCTTTTCTGGTATCTCAACTTCCCCTGCACTTTAGCATCACTTGGGGACCTTTGCAAAGTACTGTTTAGGCTCAGCTGCCACCCCCCAGGCTGATTTCCGGTCTAAAGTAGGGCCTATGCGGCCTGAGAGTTTGCAGAGCCCCACACGTGATGCTTGTGGACAGCCGTGATTTAGAATCACTGGCCTGCCTAGTAGGCCCCACCTCCTAGCCCTCCTGCTCTGCTAGGAAGTTGGCAGGGCTTAGACACCCCCAACCCAGCTCTGCCCTCCAGCGAGCTGATCCAAGCCTGCATGGTAAAGGATGAGGCTGGGTGAGTTACAAAGCTACAGTGGAACGCAGGAGGGACCCCCTCATTCTTCCTCTGGGTCTGGGTGGGCTTGTCTACCTATTTTCTCATTTACAAAAACAGCCGAACACATTGCCGGAGACAAACGACTCACAGCAACCCCGTATAGTTTCCAACGCTGCTAACCTTTCCGGAAGCTGACAGCTTCCTTTCTCCCGACAGACCCAGCAGTAAACCCTTCTCGAACTCTCCCATATTGGGTATCAGATCAGAGGACACATTGCATTGGGTAACTGCTACATGAGACTTGACAGTACTGGAAAGCAAGCCTGTGACTGAGGCCTAAGGTGCAGCTGACACAAGCCATGCTGCTGATTTCAATCCCCTGGCAAAGTTGTAAGCCACACCCCACAGCAGTCACGCTCAGTTGCCTGCACAGAGGCTTTGTGAGGAAGGGCACATGAGTCTGGATGTGGAGGCTTGGTGGGCCCAGGCCTAGCTCCCTCCAGACCCTTGGACCAGCTTAGGGAAGTCACCCAACCACATAGTGGGCAGGGACAGATACAATTAAACCCAACCTTCCACTTTACTGTGGCATCAACCTCTTCTTACTACTGAAGGGAAAGGCATCTAGATGTGGTGCGTACCCCAGAATTGGAGGAGGGGGCAGGAAGGAAGGCGATTCTACCCCAACAGCTGGGAGGTAAGATCTGCCCAGCAGGAGCATCTTCCACGAATTAGCACTGGATGCCCACACGGCACATTCCAGGACACTGACTTTCCACGAGTACGTTCAGCTGCCATGTGCCCACTCATGCCAGTTCTAGACCAGTCCCCACTGGGCCATTTATTCCTAAGAGAAAAGCTAAATATTTAGTGGTCTTTTTAACAAGTTCACCTTAATTACGGAAAGAACTTCAGATAGCGTTCGAAATCTCATTTACTTGAGTGGATGAGCCACTTTTCTTACTGGGGGCTAGGGGGCAGGGAAAGGAGGTTTAGCTTTGACTTTTGAGTTGAACATCACCTCCTCTAACAGGATTGCCATTTCTGACCCTCTTTGGTGCTTTCTCCTCCTTCCCCAGCAGAAATCCATTACTTTTAGCAGTTTCTGCTCCCCTAGTAATAATGCTGAGAAGCCCTAGTAGTGTAGGGGTTGCATGGTGGGCTGCTAACTCCAAAGTCAACAGTTTGAAGCCACCAGCTGCTCCTCAGGAGAAAGGCCATTCCACACCTGTCGAGTTAGGTCTCGGGAGCTCACGAGGGCAGCTTTACCCCATGCTATCAGATCGCTATGAGTCGGCATCAACTCCATGGCTGAACTTGAGTACTAACACCAAGTTCAAACCACTCCCTACAACGACACACTGCCCGGAAGCCACCCACGGGTGCATTGGAATGTTTTCTGTCTCCACGAGAAGGTGCAAACATCAGTGGAAGGAATTACACGTTTTCCACGGTGGTTCTTCCAGCCAGTTTGGGGGTGTGTGTGTGCAACATTCAATAGGAAAGGAAGAATGTTCCCAGAGATATCACAGTCCATGTATGTTTGAACTTGGGATGATGCCTGAGACACAATGAGGGCTAGGGAAATGTCACCTCTTACTGTCTGTAATGAGTGACAAGATTTTTTTGAGGCAGATGGTAAGCTGAGGGAGACGTTACAGCCAGCCTGCTAGGTGGTGATGGGAAAGCTATCCCAGACTCCCAGAGCCCACACACGAAAGCAATGTGCTGGGTCTGTCAGAAGTTGGCAGGAAGGCAGGTCCTAGCAAGCCCTAGTTGCCAGGTGTGATTAGACAGAGGGGTAGCCCTTGGGTCCTGTCCACAACATTGCTGTCTTGTCTATTCCTAGGTAGACCGCTTACATCACCCTGGCACTAGGGGGCCCTGACACATAGTCTTTCTCCTAAGAGGAAAGCATCACTTGGGGCCTTCTGATGCCACCTGCTCTCCCCTACTAAGATCCTCTGTGGCTCACAGGCAGCTAGGTGCCTGTCCCAGGGCTTCAAAACGGCCACCAGCACACACGGAGACAGGCCAGGGCATGGGTCTGGGTGCACACAATGGCAGCTGGGAAAACCAGGGCAGGGATGGCTGAGTCGGGAGAGCCCGCTGGGGTTGGTTTGGTGAGTTCACACAGGGCAAAGGGCAAACAAGGGACCCAGAGCTAGACGATGGCGAACTTTTCCTGGGTGCTTTATCACCAGGCTGCACTCGAGCACATCATGTGCTTTAGATAACCATGGCAGTGCCAGTTTAGGGCAAACCAGAGGCAAACACATCGGACTGGGCCTTTGTGCCCACAGGGGATGCTAAGGTTTGAAACCATTTCCAACATACCTCGGCTGGTGGTTCCCAGTGCAGATGCCGACCGGCAGGAGCACACTCCACTCGTCTGTACGCTGGAGGTAGGTCTGGGCTGCTGACAAACTAACTGGCATTTGCACTAACATCTGTGCACACACTTAGTCAGAAGGCTCTTTGGGTCTTTATAGGAGCCGGCCACAGTTTGGCTTGAAAGAGCCAGCCAGCAAAGTGCTCCAGAAAAGCCAGCTGTTATCTCCTCACTGCTCACAGGCAAAGCCAATGAGACATGCTGAGCACCGTGTGCCTGGCGGGGGCAGATTCTGCCAGCATCAGGAGCAGCCACTCTGGAGTTAGCAACTACTTCTGAGTGAGAGGGAGCGGTTCCTCCCCAAGGGTGAGCGAAGAGCGGCCTCAGGCAGATTCTGGCTCATGCCCAGCCAGCTCAGCCTCGGGGGCATGTCAGCGTGGTGCCAGTCAGGTCCGACTGCCGGGCAGACCACGCCTGAGCAAAAGGCTTGCTCAGCTTTACCCAGCTTCTCCTGGGGGACTTGTACAGCCCCCAGGCATCACTCAGCCCCCCAGGGGGTGAGAGCTAAAGCAGATTCCCCCACCTTATCCCAGATCGTTTATGGATGGCTGCAATACAGACGTTTTCATTGCCAGAGAGGGCGCTTGAGTTTTCCTCTGACCCTGGTGGCAGGTCAATCCGTTTGGAACCTAGGACAACTCATCAGCCCTCCCCGAAGCCCTGCACTAGCAGCTTACACTGGCCCCTTCGCACGGTTTTCTGGTGGGCAAGGTGACTTCAGCAACTCCAGGAGTGCACGGTAACCTGACAGACGTGAACAGATCTTCAGTGACTTACGAACTCAGCTAATTATGCCTGAGCAAGCTGTCCAGGCTGCCCGATCGGCCCTCACCCAAGGAAGCAGTGGGTGCTGGCAGATGACAAACTCTAAGGCAGTGTCAGATTCACAAAGCTCAAGCTCACAATGAGAGGGCTGCTGCTTGGAGGCAGACCAAAAAATGAAATAAAATACTTACCTCCCCCTTCCTTCACTAGCAACTCAAGAAAAAAGTCCTGAAACTATCATAAGATCCTTCAGAAAGGAGGCAGGGGAAAAATCTCTGCAAAACTCAAGTCCCATTTAAGATGCATGTTTTTATTGGTGTTTAAGAGAGGATGTTATAACCTGACTATATAATATTCTCCCACTCTTGGTAAATCACTAGAATGTAACAAAGGGCTGTCTTCTATACTAATGTTAAGGTTGTCCAGTTCTCAGAAACATTAATATAAAGGAAACATTCATAGTTTATTCAGGAAACAGTCATTATTTTATACAGGATTTACAAATTTGAGACAAGACATAAAAAACACAATTATAGCCGCCCCGCTACCCTTGCGACATAGTGGTGATTGGTGTTGAGGGAGCGGCCATTATGTACAGCTGAGTTTGAATGGGACTATTTACAGAGGGGCCCCAAAGCACGTATTTAAAGGTAAAGGCGCTCAAGTTTAATGTGCAGTTTCATAGCCCTATGAAAACACAATTTATATACACTGTAAACACCACAGGGCATGAAATCCATTTCCCACCACAAACAGCAATCTCACAGATCAAGCACACGAGGTCCAGGGGAATTCAGGGCCCAGCTTTCCCTCTAAGCACACGCTGCACCCCAAAGGGCTCAGACTCACTGCAGATGCTATGGTACGAACCCTCTCTGAAGTCCTGCAAGGACTGGCTGCAGACTGTCCGTGGGAGCATCTTGTGAACGTCCTTGATGGTGACCGATCTTTGTCCTTCGAGGGTGGATCTGATTTAGGAAGACGGGCGTAGTTATTCACAGCTAAGTGAGTCTGTGTGTGTGTGCGCGTGCGCGCGCGTACACCACCTCTGGATCAAACGTGAGGTGCAGCTGGGGAACTGGCATTGAAACCCGCCTGAGCGATGGCAGGCTGTCCTGGTGGGTTCCTTCCAGTGACAACTCTGGGGGTTACCACTCACTCAGCGTGGGGGCTGGGGCAGGTTTGGCTGCCTCTTGCATAGACTTAAAAATCGTCCTCCTCCAGTTCGGCCCCTTTTGCTTTCTTGTGCATTGCCCGGTTCAAGCTGTGGCAGGCAGGGACCCAGCGATTGTCATGAAGGCCCAGCCTGCAGCCGGGGAAGCCCTTCTGAGAGCGGTGGCAGCACATCCAGTACCCTGGCCCGTAGGGCAGTGCCTGGCAATAGGGCTTGGGGTGCCACCGGCACAGGGACACGTCCCCCTTCACATACTTCTTCTTGCACTGCTTGCAAGGATCCTCTCTGTAGCGTGGATCACGAACCCAGCGGGAATCCGCCGGCCTGATGTTGTAGTACTCAATGATAAACTTAAAGTAGCAGCAGGTACATTTAAGAGCCACTAAACTCTTGGTGGGAAGCAACCTGAAGATCTTCACCATAATATGGTGGGGCAGAAAGGCCAGGTACTGCTGAGGCTCCAACAGCTGCTGGATTTTAAACCTGGTCTCCAGAAAGTCATGAGACACCTGCTTCTTCCAGCTGGACGCCTCCACCACCGGCAGTGCCCTCTCGGCAGCCAAGGCGGGGGCCACACAGGGCTCGGCTGGAGCGCCTTTGTCCTTAGGTGCGCGGTCAACCCCAACCGCGGGGGCGCCTGCCAGCGGGCTGCCCTCTGAAGACTCTCTTGTGCTTTCATCCGACTGTGAGCAGTGTGACTCGGGCTGGCCAGGCGGCAGGAAAAAGAGCCGTCCTGGAAGCGGGTCGCCACAGGAGAGGAGGCTAGAAGGCTGCTTTTGCTCTGCCTTGGACACGGCGATGATGACCCCCCCGGATTCTCTCCTCCTCTGCGCAGGCGTTTGGCTAGTAAGCGGTACAAACTCTCTCATCGTGCAGTCAACAGCATTGGGGGGCAATTCAGTGGCTTGGGGACAGGTGTGCGGAGGGAAGGGCGACCCAATTAGTTCCTCGGTCATTTCCACATCAGGCCTGCTGCTGCTGTTCTTCATGGCAGCACGCTGGCCTGCCTCTGGACCCTCATGGGCCACATGGAGACCCACACCGGCTGGCAATGAGGGGCAGCCCAGTGGGCCATCCTCCCAGGCCTGGTCCTCCTTAGGAGAACACTGCTCAGCGCTGGAGGGGCCACAGTCCTCAGATGCCGACCCGACAGGGTCTCCCTGAGCGCCAGGTGCCTCCACGGCGCCTTTGCTGGTCTTGCCTTCGTCAGCCTGCGTGCCGCCGGCAAGCAGCACCCGGCCCACATTGCGGCGGAAGCTGCTGCTCCTCGAGAGGCTCCCTGGCTCCCTCGGGCTCTGCCGCTTCAGGCACTCGGACTCTAGCCTGGCCACCATGTCCAGGACGCGGACCGGCTCGGTTGGGGCTTCGCCGGCCTCAGCAGTGCCCCTCTCCCCGACTGCATCACAGGCTCCAGGGGCAGGGAAGGCTGGGGGCACACCTCTGGGGTGCCCAGGAAGCCTCACAGCTGTTGGGGCGCTGGTGCAGGTCTTCGTACAACTGGCTAGCAGAGCACTGGCTCTCTGCTCGAGGAAGGCCACCATCTGGATGACGGACAGAGGCCTCCCTGCATAGACGCCGTCCCCACTGTCACTCACGTAGTGCACAGAGCAGTGCTCGATGCCACACGCAAAAGGTTCTGGCGGGTAGCACCTGCTATTGACCTCCCGCATCCTTTCCAACTGGACCTTGGCTTTCCTCAGATCCCCCGACCTCTTCCTCCGTTTGGTGGCTCTCCCCTCTAGATCCCAGGAGCTTTTAATTTTCATAGAGCCGATCCTTGTGCTACCTTGGTGGGCTGCAAAGAAGGCGATCTTCTCCTTGGTGTTTCCCGGCTTCACCACGGCCCAGATGTCGAGCGGCCCGTCCCCGTCCTCGCCCTGGTGGATTGTCGCAGACGGCACATGCTTTTTGGCTTTGAGACTCAAGCTGCTCTCTGCGGGGCTCTTCCCACTCATGCTGCACAGAACATTTGGAGAAATGATCCCAAAAGGCTGGCGAGAGGATGCTTTGCCACAAGAGGCTGAAGGAAAGATGCTTGGTGTCAGGAGGCTCGCGCCGCACGCTTCTTCGTTTACAGCCCGGGGGTGGCGCATGGGCAGCGGCCACGTCTCCTGGGTGATGTCCAGAGACCGCGCTTCCTTCTGGAGCTGCCAGTGTGGCTTCAGGTGCATAACAGAGGCCCTGGAGGGTGCAAAACAGATTAGATTAAGAAACCAATTTTGATGCTGGGGCGGGGACAGGGGCAGGGATTCTTTTTCTCCCCCCAGTTTAAGCCACTCCCATCGAGTCAATGCCAACTCGTGAGGACCCTGTAGGAGACAGGGTAGAACTGCCGCTGTGGATTTTCTGAACCTGTAATTCTTTATGGAAGTAAAAAGCCTCATCTTTCTCTCCCAGAGCGGCTAGTAATTTCGAACTGCTGACCTTGCCATTGGCAGGCTAACTTGTAACCACTATGCTACCAAGACTCCCCCACTCACTCAGATCAAGACTGACAAAATCAAAATAACTACTTTCCACTAGGTTATAGGCCAGAACATAAATGGGTTTAGCCTCCATTTCAGAAACAGACAACCCTAACATTCTACACATGCATTTAGTCCTCTAAGTGTAAAGGCACCTGGACACACTGAGAACATCGCAGCTGGCAGGCAGTATAGGGAGTAGCACAGGAGAGCATACAAGCAGCTCTTCCTACAATCCGACACTCACAAAACCCAACTACTGGATTACTAATTGCCACTTTTCTTTGAGGTTATCCTGCCTAGCCTTTCACTGATGGCACAAGAGTGTACCAAAACTTCCATATCCTCTTTTCTAAATTATTTCTATGCTTCTAAATACTTGGATGCTTATAATTCTCCCCTATTTGCTTATGTACTTTGTCCATCTATTGTTCTTGTTTTCTAAAATACTTAATTGTATACATTAATTGTCAAATTTCCTGTAAATATCTGCAGTCAAAGATCAAACTCATAATCTGTATGAGTTTTAAAAATTAATTTTTTAAAGACTAGTTTAAAAAATAAGCCCACTGGCCAGGAGTGGAGATGGGAGCAATTTCAGAAATCTGATAAAATGATTATGTAGTAACAGAAGTGAGTTCCTGCCATGTCATCAATTAGCTAGGAAGGGTGATTTTACTTTAGCAAATCCCTTCCTCTACTCTGAGCTACAAAGGGAACTAAGGGCCTGGGCCCAGGCCCGTGTCAATGCAAAGGCAAAACAGGCTGTTGCTGACACAGAGTCCTGCGTGGAGAATGAGTGTCCCTCCAGGCAGGCGCCTGGTCTCCTGCAAAATAAAATATGCCTGCCTCTGCAGTCCAAAACTGAACACTGGGGCTGGACCACCTGCTTCCCACTGTCCAGGACAAGTAACTCTTTTCAATGTTTAACATACAATTCCTAGAGTTCAACTGCAGATCACAGAAGGATGGCTACCTAGCTAGGTCTTGGGTAATCTTACAGTTCACACGCACACATGTATCTTTTAAAGACACCCTTGAAATAAATCAGGTGGGATAAGGACGTGCTTTCTGGACCTTTGGCAACTTGGCCCTTGAGCATCTGTAGAGAGCCTCCCCATTCTGCCCTGTAGCAGAATGTGACCTTACTCTAAACTTACTGTGACAAGACGACCCACCTGGAATTCTTCAAGAACAAAATGACCCATACATGAGTAAGAGGAGCCCATCGATCAGTCTCTTTGTGCCACCCACTCTCATTCCACACCCCCACAGCCTGTCTCCAAGTGAACTGAAAGGCATGTAAGTTGCTGAGTTGTACATGCAAGTAATAACTTCTGAAAAATCCAATAAATTCTCACAATGATTCCATTAGAGTGCCTGAGAATAAATGTAATCCCAACGTTAGCAACGTGTGCCGTTCTGCACTGCACACTGTGTTCTTCTCGCTGTCCTCCCCCACAGAGGAGTTCAGCTAGTTTGACTGATAACAGGGGTGCGGAGAAGAAAGGACCCCGACAGACGGCTTTGGTTTGCATTTAACCTGTAAAATCAGCCAACAAATACACACATTCTGAACACTCCTTCAACAGGAGCTGGACCCAGGGGAAAGGCAGTGGGGGAGAGACGCGATAGGGGCTGTGATTGACCGAGGTGGCACGACTGCTGGAGCGTGCCTGGGGCATGAGCCTTCAGCCTCCTCTCCCGGGACAAGAAAGCCCTGCGACGTCTCAGGAAGGACCTGCAGTCCTGGGCAATTGAGCAAGAGGCTATGACTCGGGGTGCCAGGGGCACCAGCTGCAAAAATCCACAAGATGAAACTTTGCAGCTTCACGGATGACACCAGATGGTGGCGCTTTTCCCACCCCACGCCCACGCCCACGCCGGGTTTCCATGGTTGCCCACCTCTTCAGCACAATTTCCTTTAAACGTTCGCTATGAGATAGTCCTGTTGGCTTGCAACGGAACAAAATGCAGGTTCATAACACCTACACATCAATGTTCCTTAGAATTAATCTCAGAAGGGCCCTTTTATAGAATGAAGATCCTTGGGCTCACTGAATCAGGACTTCTGGGGCTGAGCCCGGCAACTGGGTGGCTTTGTTTTCCATTTTCTCTTCTCCTTTTCCGGGGTGCTTTTAAACTGAGGTGAAAACCACATAACATTTCCAGTTTGAAGTGAAGAATTCACCCAGGAGGTTGGTTCCCCAGGAGAACTGCGGAAGACGCATGTAGCCCTGCTCTGCCTGAAACGCCAGAAAAGGGCTTTGGTTTCTAAGGAGGAGTCAGCCAGCAGTGAGCTTGGAGAGATGACCATCAGCAGGTTTCCCCAAGAGGAAGAGGCCCAGCCAGCACTCCGGAGAAGCAGCGGCCAGCAGTAGTGTCCCACACAAAGAGTGGCAGCTCCCGTCCCAGGAGTGGACACAGCAACAAATTAACTGATCTTCCAGAAACTAACAGTCCCCGATAAAGAAACACCATCCCAGGAGGAGCAGCCTACAGTCACATGGGGGAAGGGAAGAATTCCATGCCTTTAACACATTCACAATGTTGCAAACCACCACTCCTATCTGGTTTCCAAACGTTTTCATCACCCAGCAGGAAAACTGGGGTCGTGGTACACTCCCTCCCCCTGGCAACACACAACCCCCCTTCTGTCTCTGGGCTTATCTATTCAGGGCATCTCACACCAGCTGTCCTGCGTCTGGCTTCTGCTGCTTAACAAATTGTCTTTGGGCAGTGGTTACCCATACTGTTCTTAGGGCTGAATATCATCCCACGTTATATAGACTCCAACCTCTTTATTCACTCGTTCGTAATCGGACATTTGCTCCGTGGCCACCTTTTAGCTACTGTGACTAATGCTATCTATGATCAAGCACTGGATTGAGTAGTTTACTTTTCATCCTTCCGTGCGCAATGTCAGACAGTAATTTGTATTTAATACCAAAGAACCCCAAACTGCTTTCCGCAGGGGCACTCATTTTGCACTTGAGCCTCAGCAATGCACCAGACTGCCAATCTCTCCATGCCCCCACCAACACCTGCTACTTTCTATAGTTTTGTTTGCTTTATATTTATTGCAGCTATTTTAGCAAATACAGCGTCTCACTGTAGTCAGAATCTGTTTTCAACTTTAGGTTTAGTTTGGAAGAGATTATCGAGGTCACTAAGCAATGACCACATGCATCTGAATCATGGTGTTGGCAAAGAATATCCAAGTACCATGGACCGCCAGAAAGCAATGAACAGAGAAGGTGCAGCCAGAGAGCTCCTTTGAAGCAAAGCCGGCAAGCCCATCCCCTTAGGTACTTTGGATATGTGGTTAGAGGACCACTCCTTGGAAAAGACACCATCCGTGGTTAAGTGGAGGGTGAGTGAAAACTTAAGATAACCTTCAACGAAATGGACTGACCCAGGAGCTTTGGCACAATGGGTTCACAGCTGGTAATGACTGTGAAGACGGCTCGGGACCGGGCAGAGTTTCCTTCTGTGGAACTTTCCGTGGGGTCGGGTCACTTGGAGATCGTGTAAAGAGTCGGTGGGCCTCTTTTTGGCTTTGGGCTGGGGTCCTGGGATACAGCTAGGTGAGCTGAAACTGCCCAAGGCAAAGCCAGGAGAACAGTTGGACTACAGCACCGATTCTGAGGATTGGACGAAAGCAGACCCAGTTTCTTACCTTTTATTCTCGCTTTTTAAAAACACCATAAAGTCGGGGGGCGGGGGGGTGGGTAGCATTAGAACAGACTGTGATGATGTAGCTACAACTTTTTTTGCAAGCAGTTTAACTGTGCAAATGTATGAAGTGCATGATATGTGAATATTCTATCAAGGAAACTGTTATAAAAAGAAAAAGAAAGCAAACTTGACCGATGGTTATCATGGGTGAAGGAGGAAGAGTTTCTGCTCAGCGGCACTGATGATCTGTAAATGGCAGAAGAACAGTTTGGAGAGGGCTATCAGTAATGGTTGCCCAACACAAAGAATATAATCAATGGCACAGAATGATACACACAGAAGTGGCTGAACTGGAGAATGTTCTGCTGTGTATATTTTTGCCACAATTGAAAAGAATATATAACACGAGTAACAATGAGTACAAGGAAGAAGAAAACGTTCTAAAATTGATTGTGGTAAAGATTGTGCAGCATCATGCAGATGAAAGGCAATCACGCCACTATGGAAATTGTAAAGCAGTCATGAAACGAACATAGCAGTTCCTATTTAGTTTCACCTAACCACTGCCTTACAAATGTTCATTTCCTTATTAGGTCCAATTATTATCAGAAGTTTGCTAATCACTCTTTGGGCTGGATATAATTATGAATAAGACACATGACTAGAACATTAGCATACCACGCTTACAAAAATACCTCACGGGGGAGGGTAAGGTTGGCAAACTTAAAAGGCACAAGCTACCTGCATAACAATGTGGACCTCTCTGCCCTCAAGCTCATACGGTTTTGGTTGGGAGTAGGGAGAGGAAGAAGAGATAGGATAGTGACATTATGTGAGTGGTATTAGGAGGGGTCAATAGCAACAAACTCAGTCTTTAAGGTATAGGAGCAGGCCAGAGACACCCTAATTTTCCAAGCCAAGACCTGAAAGAAGAAAACACAATTCTAAGACGTTCAGAAGCAGATGATGCTCTTGGGAACCGAGGTGAGAAATCAAACAACGAGAGCTCCACCTAAGGTGCTCTCAGTAGAGAGGTGG